CGGGACTGCTACTTTGCTACGTTGCTATGTTGTTGGATAAAAATCCCGCGTGAATTGGATAAAAAGACATTTACGAGTACATTATAACGCGCCCATCTCTATAACACTCTCTCTCTGCGGCCGAAACGTCAGCGGCGGCGGAGCCATACACAAGATCTGCCGTTGAGGCCAGGGAAACTCTTGCTTCCAGGCGCGCATATTTTTCCTGGATCTATTGCTTTTGCATAACGGACTCGAGAAAGAGGGGGAAAACGGGAGCGTGCCATGTTTTTCGATGCATCTTGCCTCTGCACTGCAGGAGAGGGGAGAAGGCTCTCCCGACGAGGGGCCGCCTACGGTCAGCTGGCGCTGGTTAGTCGGATGTGTCCGATAGAGTTCCTGTGGCCCTGCGATATACGACGAATGTGGAGCGCGATGGGATTTTAATTGGTGCGAGTCCGAAATAAGGATAGCCTTAATCCCGCAACGCAGATATTATGTGTAGACATTTATTTCTAGATAAAAAAACATGTCTATGTGATGCAGTAGCCATTTACAATCACGTAGACTGTAAGCTTGTTTGTCAATAAAAATAATGGAGAGAACATTTGTGCAAATAATAAAAATAAATTGGTTTTCCTATTGATATTTATAATTGTTTATTTGTGTTTGGAATGCATCTGCGCCTGCATCCGATCATACCTCAAATCAATATGTTACCGCAGTTTAAAACTTGTAAAAATGTCCCTCTAATATAACTATGAAAACCTAGCAATAAATTGTAACACACACACACACACACACACACACAAACACAAAAACACATAAACACACACACACACACACACACACGACACACACACACACACACACGATACACACACACAACCACACACACACACACACACAAACACACACACACACACACACAAACACACACACACACACGCACACATACTCACACACACACACACAAACACACACACACACACACACACACACACACACACACACACATACGCACACACACACACACACCTTTGGAAAAGAAGAAATATATCGTAAAGCAATCATGATGATGTTAAAAGTGCGCCAGGTACTGTGATACCGTGATACGCCAGCCAAGCATGAAGATTTATTCAAATCCTTCCTACAAAGGGGGAGACCCATTTGCAATCTATGAGGAAGAAGGAGAAGAGTTTAAAATCAAGAAATCTTACAATCCCTAAAATAGCGCTGCCACCAGCGGGTAAACCACTCGATCCTGTGACAGTAGATGAAGTCACCGAAACCATCAAAGGCCTTAAGAATAGATCAGCCCCTGGGCCAGACGGCATCAGCAACAAGGTGATCAAATCTCTTTCGGCGCCACTTATTTGCCTTCTTGTAGGAATATTTAACACCTTTCCCACGAACTGCTCCTTCCCGGACATCTGGAAAGAAGCAGACGTAATAGGGATCCCAAAACCGGGTAAAACGCGTAATCGTCTCTCTAGCTGCAGACCCATTAGTCTGCTCAACACTTTGGGCAAACTATACGAGCGCATTATTCATAAGCGTCTCCGTCATTACACCGAATCTAACTGACTCCTCCCTGACGAAAAGTTTGGCTTTAGAGCCAATCACTTATGCACCCACCAGATTCATCGCCTAACAGAATACATTCTGTCTGGCTTGAACCAAAACCCGATAAGGAAAAAGGCTCGAAACACTGGAGCCCTCTTCTTCGATGTCGCGAAGGCGTTTGACAAGGTCTGGCACGACGGCTTGATTTACAAGCTGTACAAACTAAACGTGCCCGATAGGCTCGTGCACATCATACGAGCCTTCCTTTTGAACCGCACTTTTCGATATCGAGTTGAGGGAACCCGTTTTTCGAAACGCTTCCTCAAGGCCGGGGTCTCACAGGGCTCCGTCCTATCTCCACTCCTCTTCACACTCTTCACGAGTGATATCCCTAAAGACCCCGTAGTGAACACCGCACTCTTCGCCGATGATACGGCATTCTATGTGTCAGACCACAACAAAAATAGACCTCTATAAAGCTCCAAAAAGCGACCAATCGCCTTGGTGAATGGTTCCGCCTATGGAGAATTGACGTGAATCCCGAAAAAAGTGTAGCAGTATACTTTCAACGGAATTCAACAGCAGGTTCTAAACCAAAAACGATTTCCCTATACGACCACCCAATCCCTTGGGAAATAATCGGCTAAATACCTAGGCGTCACGTTCGACTCCCGCATGAGTTTCGCGACGCACATAAGTGTAGTACGCAACAGAGCCAAGTCAGTAATTGGCCGTCTGCACCCTCTCGTTAACAGCAAGAGTAAGCTGTCGCTAAGACACAAACTCCGGCTGTACAAAACCTGCATTAGACCAGTTATGTCCTATGCAAGTGTAGCTTTCGCCCACACATATAAGACCCATATTTTAAAACTCCAAAGAGTACAAAACTTTTTCATCCGAAAAGCCACCGGTGCACGGTGGTATCAACGGAACTCTGATTTACACAATGATTGTGAATTACCATCTATCTCCGAATACTTTAAGGAGATGTCCCAACGCTACTTTGATAGAGTAGAAACCCGCTAGTGACAAACGCAGCTAACTACGTTCCGATAACAAACGTCGCGCCCTATCTCCGTAGACCTCGAAATGTGTTAATAGAGCCACCTCAACCGCTCGATCCAGTTGACCCAAGCGTTGCAGGCACATCACACAACGAAACTACACCCACACTAAATGGGACAAACATTGCTAGGGCAACGAATGGGACGCGTCGCACCCGCAGACGGGCACGACGCGTTCCAGCTCACACCGCATACACACCGTACACCCGCGTTCCTGGACGGTTCTCACCGCCCAGACCATCGACCGTCACGAGCTGAGCAGTCAGAGACGGGGGTCCGCACTCCCCCCTTCGGACTGCGGTTAGATAGCTCAAAGAAAAACACCTAAAAAGGCGACATGATGATTGGTAACAATACTAAATCATAAACCATTCATCATCGTCATCCACACCTCATTGCCTTTCCCTTTAAGGGCCCTGAGTCAGATGAAGCTGTAAGAGTCGCATAGACTAACAGCACTAACATCTAGATAATAGCTAATCCCTAAAATAACGGATATTTAAAAAAACCCGTTCTCTTTTTAATTTTTTATCAAGAGTAACATTAACTCCACTACGTAAAGAAAATAAAGCCATTGTTATTACCACCTTAACCTAATTTAATTAGAACTCATACAAATTGCTTCTTTATGCTTTATAATTTACGACCATTGTTAAGTGAACCTTTTTATGGACGCAGTATTTTTACAGCAATAAAGCCCTCTTCACTGAAAAGAACCAACTCAGTTAGTTATTATTTACTGTTATTTGTTAAATAGAGGACCCTGAAAAAAGTTCTTAAAATTTGTGGTGTATAAAGTTTTTCATGTGTATTAAAGTTAAAATTAAATTATACATTGGTTCTATTGAAACATTTTATAGTATTTAAATTTAATTTACATTTTTTTAAAGAGTCAAAATCTACATCAATTCGGAAAACAAGACTTTTTCAGATTATTTTTAAATGTCATGTAGGTATACAATGTCGAATATATATTAATATTTTTAAATGTTAATTTACACATTATATCAGTAGTCAGGTGACTTAAAAATGCAGTTTATTATTATTACCCAAGCTTTAGCTATTTTCACACATCATTGTCCTCGAAATAATAATCATTTATTTTAAAGTAGGGCTTTTAACAGAATTTCTTATAAGTTTTAATAAGTTTTTAAATGTTATGTCACACTGATGCACTATATTTACAGTTTTTCCAAATTTTTTAATGTTTAATAAGATAAAATTCTAGTTTTAAACCATTCTAAATTTAGGAACCTGAAGTGTATCACCTTCACCAGGTTCTACAGGATACCGTACGGTTTTTATTACTGTTACTATTTGATGAACGCACATCGCGGTAAAACTCCCGATATCTGCCACACCATCTGGATGCTTGGCGGTCCAACGTACAGTACGTTTCACTAGGAGTTTTCTTCCGCGTACGACCTCTCTGTGGAATAGTTTACCACCGGCGATTTTTCCAGACCGATACTGGGTTTGGTGGTTTTCTCCCCCCTTGCCTCTGGTTGGCCTGGGGGGGGTTGATTTTTTTTTTTTCAGTTTAATTAAAATTTTTGCCTCTTCCATCCGACACACTTATACATAAAATTTTTTTCCCCATACACAAAAATTAAAAAAAAAAACAAGGGGGTTTTTCTTATTAAAAAAGGCGGGTATGTTGATGGATAGCAAGCAATCCTCGAGGCTTCAAGTTACAACTTATCGTTTGGTTTTGCAAAAAGAATATTGTTTCCAATCTGACTCCAGATCCCCACCATAATACACCATAGGATATGATACTGTTACAGTAATTACTAAAATCTACTAATATACCTTAATTCCAGGCAGCTATATTAGATATTAGAGCTAGTAATTATACTAGTACTCTTACCAATCAAATTTGAATATTGTGGTGAGCAGGTGGATGCACTGCTGCATGGTATAACAAAAATATAGTTAGGTAGAAAATCTACTGAAACGACTTCATTACAAATAATCATTAACAAAAATTCGTAACGGAATAGACAGATTGAAAGCAATTTGTGTCAAAGAGCGATAACTTTCTTCTAAATTAGAGCACGTAAATTAGGCAACAAATTTAATTAATTGATGCATAACTACTGATATGGTGGAAATGAGCGTCTTATCGGACGTAGAGTTGAGGCGTGCCGCGAAATACGTAATGAATTGAGTTATGACTTCCGAGCGTGAAGGTATACGGGAACTTAGAAGTTCGGCAGATGTCGGCCCGTAGAGACGTAGGCGCGAGCGAACGCGCCTTGAGCGCGTTGGCCGCGCCGCCCCTTATCGCCTTATCAGCCCTTATCACTTACTCATCGCGAACTGATCGCGCAATACCAGTTGATTCACACACGTGCGAATATCCGTGTTGCATGTGATCCCAATTCGATCATGTTAGGAAAATCCGTTGTGATTATTGTTAATTTGTGCATTTTACTTGGATTTGTGAGTGGTCAAGGTGAGTTTTCCGATTGTTTGTTGTGAAAAGATTTTCCACTTTCAGTATTTTTACATGATAACATGACATTGAGTGCCAATATGTTTGCGTTATTTGTATATGGATGATATCAGATCGTTGTAATGTTGGTTATGTTAAGTTTTCCTTTAATACGTTTAGTTATCGTAACGATGTAAACACCGTGTAGTGTCAATGTAAGAATATCCACTAGCCCATACCCTCTCGTGGGTGTCGTAAGAGGCGACAAGGGGAAATTGAAACAGGAGATGGGCAGCAGTATCTTCCTGATACCAACTCAAATTAATAAAACACTGCGGTTGACAACCCGCTCGCCAAGCGTGTCAACCATGGCAAAATCCCAACTATGAGGCAATCTATGGTGGTGGCCATGTTCAGCAGTGGACTTTTATAGGCTGTAATGGAATTGATGAACCGTATTGTTGATTTTCCGTTACATATGTTTTCATAATGTTTTTTTTATAGGATAGGCTGACAAACGAGCACACAGTCCACCTGATGGTAAGTGGTTGCTGCGGCCCATAGACATCTACATCTTTCCTCGATTACAAATCAAAATGCAGATGTGGATGTGGTTGCTGTGGCCAATAGACTTCTACGTCTATGGTATCTTCGATTACGAATCAAAATGCAGATGCGTTGTCACCCGTGAAGACTAAGATGGAATGCCTCGTTTCCAGTAAAAAGGGTCTCCGATTCTCTACACTTACCATACGAAACACAGCAGCATTAAGCTACTATTTTACGCAGGTATTCTGTGAGAGCGTGGTCCTTCCCCTTAATGTAAACTAATGTTGATTATTTTAATTTCTCTTATTGTATAGTATCATTTAACTTAGGATTTATGAATCTTGTGCCAATTCATCAGATTACAGCATCCATTTACCATCAAGTGACTACAGTTGTTTGTCAACCTTATTCTATAAAAAGAACCACATAAAATACTTAATATATGATTTCAGTTCACTGTAATAAAACATTGCTATGGAGATAATATGTTCTAACAAGTAAAATAATACATTTATATTCCTTATCAAACCATAAAGGAGCATCAAAGGATAGATTTATTTTACATCTGCATCTGTATACATTAAATTAAATGTGTAACCAAAATAACCGAAACATGACCGTGTAGAGCCGGAACCCACCTGTTACGAGCGTCGCTTCTCGCTTCACAGAAATAGAATAAATCCCGAATAGGAATGACAGTTTTATTTTGAAGAGAGTAAATTCTTTCGTTACGAACAGGGAGGAATTCATTTACAAGTCGAAGGTCGTATGACATAAGCTATTTAGAAAATGAGTTGAACATCTCACTCATTTAATCCATCTTAGGTAAATAAGTAACTCTATTTAGTTTACAAATACATTCATTTAAATTTAGTAGCGTATACTGGGAGATTAAGTGGCTTAGAAAACGATTTGAAAGAACAGAAACCCAGCTATTGTAAGCTATGTATTTTATCAAAACCTCCTATTACGGTATGTAATCACGCCAAAAGAAAGTGTAACTCAGACTAAGTAACCAAGAGCTTCATTGATATATCACAACCCCATAACATTAGTAGTCATTATTTATCAAGATTTTTCTTTCAAGTTAACGAAGTATGAATGTAGTAAATATATACACAAGCAAAAATAGATTTCCAACTATGTTTAACTATTGGGCACAGAGGATCTCATTCTTAAGGAAGTAAATAAAATATTATAAAAGTACAGAAATACATTAAATTTATTGCAACAAGTGGAAGTGAACTTGCTACTAATTTAAGAAATGTAGCTGTTCAATTCTGAGCTAATAGGTCTTAAAATACGTACTAAGTATTATGCATAATTAATTTCTAATTATATAGGTGCGAGCTAGTCATTATTTAAAACAGTGACGCAATCCCTAAATATTAACATTACATTTTACGTAAACTTTACATTGTTTTACTTCGTGAAATGTTGTAAGATATTCAAAAATAATGTTAAATTTAAAGGAATCAAATTAATACGACGAAAGAATTTATAATATTGTAAATATTTAAAAATGCAACACTTAATGATTAAAACAAATGGAATATTGACTAATGATTGATTAATATTTCGATCGCGTACAGAGATTCGGACTGATAAATTTCATACAAAGTAATTTAAAAATTTAAGAGGAGTAAGTAAGCAAAGCAAGCATTCTAGTAAACAAAATTTTAATATATATTGAAAATATTACTTTATGTGTGGACGTAATTTCAGAATTTACATTCATTTTTTTAGTTGTAGGCTGGCGATTGTGTTAACTGTTTATTGGAAAAGTTGGAAAGCTATGTCGTGAGTTCCAGGTTCAAATTACATGAGGAAATGTTTGTGTAAAAATAAACATTCGTTTGGTTTTCGGGTTCAAATATGATATTAATGGTCTCGTGTCTGTCACTGCAACCTAGACCAGTGACCATTGAGTTCCGCTTTGTAGTGTAGTGTAGAGACTTGTAGTACCTTATTATTTTTTAAACAAATGATAGCTTTGACACTATTCAAAAATTAATTGCTATTTAGTCGATTTGAAACGCAATAAACAATTATTAATTTTTTTTAATGATATTTAATCTAGAAGCCAGTATTTTGTGTTATTCCATTAATAATATAATATTGTAACCTTAATGATTTTATTTATTAATTTATGGAGTAAAATAAGTTTGTGTCATAATTTTTGAAACTAACTCATAATTTTTGAAACTAAACTTATAAATGAACAAAAGAAAATTACTTAGCTACATGTTGTGTATGTATTAATTTCAATCACAGATTACCTCTGTGATTTCAATCATTGCTTTTTGTTTTATTTTCGAACAGTTTCTAAATATAAACAGATTTTATTTCAAGTTATCAATGTACAACAGTACCTACCATTATAAGTACTAATAAAATTATCTCGATTAACAAATTAGTAACACGATACTTAGCCATCTGCTTAGTGTAATGCGTGTTCATATATTATTATGGTTGATCAAATAAAAGTTTTATAAAATACTTTAGTATAAACAATTGCAAAAACATAAATACATACATAAATAGACTTACACGCCTCTCAGGCAGAGGGGTAGGCAGAGACTACGGACTTCCATTTAATACTATCCTGAGTCTTGACACACCCCTCTCGCTTCATTCACATCCTTGTTTCTACGCATACATACTCGTTGGTTAAGAATACTCTCTGGCTCTGGCATTTTGTTTGTAAACTTCCGTCTAGAACGTCTATGCCGACGCTGCCAGTCACTTCTGCCTACTGCAGCCTAAATTTGCTTTGTCAATCTTTTTTTATGTTGTTTTTCTATATACTAATGTAATACTGTACAAAACTGGAAATAAAGTAAAGAAAATTACTTTTCTAACAGGTAATATCCAGATATTATATTTGACCGATATTCGGCATGCAAACTGGTATATAGTGTTTGATCCTCACCGGCACCAATAAAATTGTTAATTGCAATTGCTTTACCACCTGATTAGTGGTATAGGAAAACATCTGTAGAAGTCTGCATATCCCAAGAATAAAATATTTGAGGACACGTGCAGGCCGCTAACACGCCCTGGTGGGGCGGGCGGAATTACTCTACAATACTTTCAGAAATTAGAGAGGGCTTCATATAAACGGGGGATGTATTCAGGGTTAGTTGTTAGTATTGTCTTATCAAGGCTGTGGAAAGCTGGCCGAAACGCAAAAGTATCAAATATTCCCAAATATATGCGAAGTTTTGGAGCAAAAATTATTCTGATATTTTAATTAAGCTCACGCTGCCACTTTACGACTTTAAAAATTATTCTGTAATCGAGTTTTAAACACCGAAGCTTAAACGTTTATATTTTTACATATGGTCCCGGGTAGGGTCAATATAAGTTATTGAGTTTCCAGTCATGAAATTCTCCGTAGCAGCCTGGAATTTGAAATTTGGCAGTGTTTCAAAATCTGGCAAAGCACATAAAAACGTTGGTTCTGCGACTGATTTCTCTCTAACCGTGTCGGATGCATTTATTTATTTAAGTACACCAACGTTTATTGCAATAATATAGTAATAGTATGCTCACTTCAACTAGAACACTAATTGCGCAATCAATTAAATTTACGACCCATCAGACAATGGGAGTAAGAAAATAGAGAGCGCACCTGTGTTTGCGCTTACATTCGTCACTATTATCCTGTTCTATGGAGAAGGATAGTCCGTTGAGACTGGCCGCCGTAACCGAAATTAGGTCTAGTGGAAGACATTTAGAGAAAAATTAAAAAGTAAAGAAAGTATTACAATGTACTAAGCAGAAAGCTTCCCATCAGGTGAGCCGCATGCTTGTTTCCCACTCTCTTTTATTAAAAAAACCTAATGGTAAATGGATGCTGTAGCGCATATACGCCTACATCTATCCTCAATTGAAAATCAAAATATAGAAATACCTTCTGGATTTGTTTTTTAACCTCTCAGTCCCTAAGCGGTTGAATCTTATTCGGCGCTATTCTTCTATACGACTACTTTTCTATGAAGAAGAATTTCCATTATAGAAACAATATGAAATTTTCTATCCTATAGTGGAATAAAAAGTTAGTTAGTTTATGGATATTTATTAATAATCTACGTTCATTTCTTACGCCATTTTCGTGTGAATGTTATTGTGTTGATTTATGGAATTTTCTAGTGTTTTAGTATAGTGTTTTATTACAAAATTGTAATAAAAGTTTTTGTGTGAATATAATTTATCTTTTTACGTAAATAACTTCGAGTAATATATATTGAAATAATGGTGATTTTCACGCTGCCGCCATTCGCTTGGTATGTTTTGTTTTTATTATCAAGTCTTTTTGTAATGAAGTAAAACCTAACTTTTATATAGAGCATTTTGTATAGATTTTATAATGCCGAACTTCTTCATAGAAAAGTAGTCTCTAAATATAAGTTTTAATGGTTTTAAGTTCTGCGGGTGGGTGCGGTCGCACGCGACCGCTCGGGATTTGC